CCTCCCAAGTTGCTGGGACCACAAGCACCCGCCACAATGCCTGGCCATTTTTTGGTTGCAGCCATCATTGTTGTTTGGCAGGCCCAGGCTGGATTCAAACCCACCACCTTGGGTGTATGTGGCTGGCGCCTTAGCCGCTTGAGCCACAGGTACCAAGCCAACATCCAAATGTTCCAAAAGCATTTTTAATATGTTTAATTGCATCTTATTAAATCCTACTGTCAATAAAAAAGTGACTACTTTTACAAACATGTTTCTTTACTTCAAACCACTGCTTATGTTTTATCTTTCTTTATTTGGAAATTAAAATACTGTATAATAACTTAAAAAACCAAGTTTTTTTTTTGCAGTTTTTGGCCAGGGCCGGCTTTGAACCTGCCACCTCCAGTATATGGGGCTGGTGCCCTAATCCTTGAGCCACAGGTGCTGCCCCCCTCAATCAAGCTTTTTGAGGTCTGCTGCTTAAACTTTTATAGTACAGTATTGTAAGCACATAGGAACTATTATACTTACGAGAACATGGATGCCTTCTTTCTCCACAAGAGTAGTGTCATAAGTTGCTTCACACACTCTTACTATTGTGGTAACTCCATACTTCTTAAGTTCCTAGATAAAATATAAATTAAAAAATTTAATGAAATCTTCACAATGACATCACTATTATTTAGTATTAGCTATTTTGATCATAGGCAGGTTTGCTGGTTAACAGAAAACCATGAAAAAAACTGATACAAACTATAGCTGGGCATTGTGGCAAGTGTCTGTAGTCCCAGCTATTTGGGAGGCTGAGGCAAGAGAATAGCTTTAGCCCTAGAGTTTGAGGTTGCTGTGAACTATGATGCCACAGCACTCTACCGAGGATGACAAAAATCAGACTCTGTCTAAAAAAAAAAAAAAATTGGTAGAAACTATGTATTTTTAAACATGGAAGCAAAATCTCTTCCCCTTTTCTGGGGATAGGGTCTTGCTCTGCTGCCCTGGCTAGAGTGTAGTGGCATCCTCAGAGCTCACAGCAACCTCAAACTCTTAGGCTCAAGCAATCCTCCTGCCTCAGCCTCCCTAGTAGCTGGGACTATAGGCATACACCACACCTGGCTAATTTTTCCATTCTTTCTAGAGATGAGTCTCACTATCATGCAAGCTAGGCTTAAACTCCTGGGCTGAAGTGATCTCCCATCTCAGACTCCTGTTATAGGAGTGAGCCACCACACTGTGTAGCAAATTTTGTCTTAAATGACAATACCAGAAGAGTGTAAAAGGAAAGGGGATATTAAATACTGTCTTGTATTTTATTTTCTAGAGACAAGGTCTCTCTCTGTCACCTGGGATAAAGTACAGTAGCATGCTGACAGCTCACTGTAACCACCAATTCCTGGGCTTTAGCAATCCTCCTGCCTCAACATCCCAAGCAGCTGGGACTAATGGTGTACGCCACCATGCCCCCATTTTCTTACTTTTTGAAGAGATGAGGTCTTGCTATGTTGCCTAGGCTGGTCTCAAAGTCCTGGCCTCAAATAATCCTTCCCCCTTTGACTCCCAAAGTGCTGAGATTACAGGCATGAAGCCACCATACCTGGCTCTATGTATTTTTAGTAAGTGGTGGCTCACACATATAATCCCAGAACTCTGGAAGGTCAAGACAGGATCTCCTGAGCTCAGGAGTTCAAGACCAGCCTAAGCAAGATGAGACCCCATCTCCACTAAAAATAGAAAAATTGGCAAAGCTTTTCGGTAGATGCCTGTAGTCTCAGCTATGGAGGCAGGAAGATCACTTGAACTGAGGAGTTTGAGGTTGCTGTGTGAGCTACGCTAACACCAAGGCACTCTAGCCACAGCAACAGAGCAAGACTCAGTCTCTAATAAAAAAAAAGGTATTTTCTCCCCCTTTAAAACTTGTGGCCCTTCACATACTGAAGTTGTTTACAGTCATGGTAATACTAGATAGGTTGGAATGAAACAGTAAGAGGGGTAAAAGCAATAAGGTCAAAAGTAAATATAATCAAAGGAATATATAACTAATTTGGTAAATAATCTCAATACAATTATACTAGCCAAACTTTACTCATTTGAAGTATGTAATATTAAGTCTTGAAAGTATATTCAGATTCTAAAATTTGAAAATGTAGTAAAAACCCCACATATTTAAAACTATAGGCTTCAAAATATATTATTAGTTTTAACTCTCCTGAGATTTAAATGATGTTTAGATGGTAAGGTAAAACAAAACTATTATCTGAGAGGCCTATTTGCTGTTTCTGGACACCTATAGATATTTATTAATAAAATATATACGTGTACAGATACATTCAGCATTCATTACATTCCTTACTTCTGGTAAGAGATGTGGTCAATAGTGAGATTGTTTTGGCTATGTAGTTACCACCAGGAAGAAGCAGAATTAGATGAAAATTAGTTCTAAGCATCAAATCAGCACCAAGACTTAAAGTAATTTTATGGTATTAGTCATTAGGCTAAGCATATGTATGAAAAAAATCCATAAACAGTAGCTGTCCCCCAAACATCCCTTATAAATGACAGCTACATTGTCCACATACTAATTTCAATTACGCAAACTCAGATGCATAAAATACTATGAACTCATAAATCCAAACAGGACACGTCTTTCTCAAAAATGTATAAAAAATTTACCCCTAAAGAAGACATATGTATAAGAGAACCCCCATAGTTCACCACCTTAAGTTGACCTGATTTTCACAGATGGACGTGCACTACATGTACAGATCAGCACCACAGGCCTAGTTCCTTATGGTGATTACCTCTGTATGTCCACCAGTTTGTTACGGTCCCTTGGGTATCAACTTACAGAAGAGTTTACTGTATTTTATTTCTGGTAATTATAACTGTAATATACCACCTCATATTTTCCAAAATAGTATTTATTTTGTTAGATATAAGCCCAATTATTTAACTGCAATCAACTTAATATATTAAAACTATCAAATCTTACCTCTATAAATTTGTTTAAGGTCGCATTGGTTGGATTGTGTGTAATAAGAAATCTCATGTTCTTGTATGTGACTTCTACAGGAGCTGGGCGGTTC